AAAATCAATGCCCTCTTCTTGTTGATTTCCTCTTGCTACCAAGCGAGATTTGCGGTTCTTCAAAGTACCATCAGCGTTGAACTGAGACTTAAAAACCCAACCACAGCTAATAGGTTTATGATTTTCAACAGGAGGAACTAAATCCCATGTATGAGTAACCTCCATGTTACTCAGTTCCTTAACCATTGAAGCAGTCCATTGTGAATCTTTCAATGCTGCATCAACAGACTTAGGCTCAGGATAGGCTGTTTAACACTCATCAATACATATTGGGGGTTAGGTTTCCTGATTCCTTCTCTTCCTCTGGTAATCATAGGATGAACAGGAGCAACATTCTCAACCTGAGGAGACAGAGAAGGAGTACTTGCTTCTGTAGGAAGAGGAGTTAGTGGAGAAGAAGGTGTCTGAACTGGAGAAGAAGACACATTCGGAAATTGCTGACGACGTGGAAAGATATCCTCGTCCTCTACCGGTATTGAAAGCTCAGGTGAAGGAGTAACAAACTCTGATCGCCAAGCTTTGAGGATAGGTGTCTCAGCAGGGTTAAGGAAAGGTTAATAGACAGTTTTGTAAGGGAAAGTGGTTTCATCGAAAAGAACATGTCTGCTGATATAGACCCTTGCAGTAGGAGGATGTAAGCAGCGATAGCCTTTGTGTTTCTCACTGTAACCGAGGAAGACACATTGAAGACTCTTGGGATCAAACTTGTTCTTGCCGTAGGGCCTAAGAAATGGAAAACAACTGCTTACAAACACTCGAAGACTTGTGTAAACTGGTTAAGTACCAACTAGAACCTCATACGGACTAACATGGCCTGGAAGAGAAGAAGATGGTAGAAAGTTCATCAGATACACTACAGTAAGGAAAGCATCAACCTAGAGTTGTTGAGGGACTTTGCTTTGGAACATCATAGACAAACCAAGTTCAGTCACATGACGATGCTTCCTCTCAGCAAGTCCATTTTGCTGAGGAGTGTGAGAACTAGACATTTGATGCTTGATTCCACAAGAAGCTAGATATTGAGTGAACTGATTACTAGTAAATTCTCCACCACCAACACTTTGAAAAAATTTATTTCAGACACTAACTGATGTTCCACCAATTTCTTAAAGCTCAAGAAGATAGAAAAGAAGTCTGATTTCATACGCAAGGGATACAACCAGGTATATCTTGAGAAATGATCAACAAAAACAGCATAAAACCTAAACCCATGAGTTGATTCAACAGGTGCAGGACCCCAGAGATCACAATGCACACGCTCCAAAGGTTTTACAGCAACAAACTCTGAACGAGAAAATAGTAAACGGCTAGACTTTCCAAGCTGACACGCCTCAAAGAACGAGAGCTGGATTTATTCAGGATGATGGCTTTATTCTGAGAAAGACGCTGGAGAACTTCATGATGAGGATGACCTAGCCTCAAATGCCAAACATCATCAGGTGCGGCTTGCTGTCTGTGAGAAAAGAAAGCCGTGAACTGCAGGTTCTCCAGAACGTAAAGATTCTTTTGCCTAGTGCCTCTGGTGAGAGGCTGTCTTGTCTGTTTGTCCTTCACAACAACACTGACAGCATCGAACTCAATAGTACATGGATAATCAGTAGTAAGTTTCGATACAGATAAGAGAGACAGTGATAGAAGGACAAACAAGAACATCGTTTAGCTGTAGATTACCTTGCAGACTTGGAAACATAGCCGATCCAACATGAGAGATAGGAAGATATTCTCCATTACCAACCAGAACCGTGTAATCGCCACGATAAGCTTGAGCGGACTGTAAGTGAGATGGATCATTAGTGATGTGGGCTGTAGCACCTGAATCTACACACCACTCATGACCAGGAACCGGTGAAGCTTCTTGAGCACGGAAAGCAGCTAAGGCGTTGTGATACTCGTCTGCTTGGTAAGAGTGATCAAATCGTTTATAACACTTGTAAGCTGGGTGTCCAAACTTGTTACAGATCTGGCAAGTAGGTCTTGTTTCGGAGGAAGAACCTCTACCAGAACCCTGACTGATTTGTTGATGAAATCCTCTACCTTGAGTAGAATAACCTCCACGACCACGAGTACCCCTCTGTTACCACCTCTGCCCCGTGAAGAATGACCTCCTCGTTGACCGTAGAAAGCCCGAGTGGCAGAGACATCAGGAGTAGCTCTCGCTAAAACCAATGAGCTTAAAGACCACATCTTCAAAATCAGGTCCTGGAAACCCATCCATCTAACTTTAGATGACCGTGGTGATAGACTCGTATTCATGTCCGAGACCACGAAGGACACCGTAGATCTTTTCTTGTTCAGCCAGAGGAGCACAGATCGAATCCAGTTGATCTGCAATCAACTTCATCTCAGAGAGGTATTCCGACAATGAACGACCTCCCTTCTTCGTCGACTGAATACGGCTCTGAAGCTCGAGTTTGCGTGTAGTAGAGACGCGATTTTATTTCTGACCCAGATATAACCACAACTCTTGAGAGGAACGAAGACCATAGACACTCTTGATAACATCTTCAGAGAGAGAACCCACTAACCAAGCCATAATCCGTTGATTAGTACGAACCCATTTGGCATAATCCGGGTTAGGAGCCTCGACATCTTGGTCGGCAGTACGAGTGGTAAGGGTAGGCGGAGGGCGAAGTTCGACACCAGTGACATAACCAAGGAGAGACTAGCTGTTGAGAAATTGTTCAAACTGGAATTTCCAAGAGAGGTAGTTCTTGTCGTTGAGCTTGAGAGTAACACACTGAGTGATAGTTAAAGGAGCAAAATAGGGATCACCATCCATGGTTCTGATACCATGAAAGCTTGAAAAAAGCTTGAGATAAAAGATGAAGAAGATAACTTTTTATTGAATGTTTCTTTCTTGCTTACAACGGATACAAGTTATCAATATATATAGAGAATCTAAGAGAGACTCTAGGGTACAGCTCAGCATATGACTGACCCTATCTTTAAGGAATCAAATCGGTTATACAGCTGTGTGACGTGAGCTGTATTGGACGTACAAAGACCACACTTTGTCATCATCTGTTTTGGTACTCTGTTACCGTTGCAGAGTTGTGTGTTGTTTTTGACGGGCCTAGATGTATGGGCCTTTGCTTCAGTTAAAGCCTATGTAGTCTTTGGACTTAGAATGTGTGTTATGCTTTGAAGCCATGTTTCATTCTTTTTCTTTAACATGGCCTATGAATGATTTCTGTTTTTGTATCTAACCTTCATGCCTGACTATGAAGAATCAATAACTGTGACTTCTCCAAGCAACAAGGATCAAACCTATACTTACACCGATAGTTTTAACGTTTAAGATCATTCCAAAACACTATGATATTGTCCGTTGGTTTATTTTCTTTTATCTCAATTTGTGATTAAGAAAAATGTAATGGCTGAATATAATAGAAGATTATAAGTACTGCCTACCTCTTAGCTGGATCATTCCAAAACACTATGCTATTGTCTGTTAGTTTATTTTCTTTTATCTCAATTTGTGATTATGAAAAATGTAATGGCTGAATATAATAGAAGACTATAAGTACTGCCTACCTCTTAGCTGCTGCTGGTTCTTAGTTTTGGATGATGTCTGCCTTAATCATCTGAATCGCTTTCATGCTTTTTTTTCTTTTTTTTTTTTAACTGGCTTCCATATATTAAATTGCAGAAGGATTAAAAAGGTTTTACAAAAGCCCAAAGACTCTAGTAGAAGAGCATAGCCCATTAGAAACTCATATTAGAACATAATTAACCCAATAGTGATGGAGCCCAAGATGAGAGCCCAGTTGAGTAGCCTTTGTTCAGACAGAACAGATGACCGAGAAGTCGAAGCATAAACAGAGAAGCGGAGGAAAGTCGTAAGTGAATCTCTTTCATACTTCATGGATGTAACTGGCACGTACTTCATGGAAGTAATTGGCACGTACTTCTTGGTTTAAGCTTGTCATGTTTTTAAAAAGATTTGACTTCCGTGATCAAATGTCAAATATGCTTTGATGCATGTACGTCTTTCAATCTATATTTTTGAATTTCTTGCTAGCTAGACGAATGGGTAAATATTTTGATATCCAAAAGGAGAAAGTTCAAAGCGCTGAAGTGTTCGTTCATGGCTTTCGAATCTATAGCTGTCCTTGCACAACGTTACTTATATAATAGATTGGAGCATTTTGAACATTTCTGGATAATGCAAAGTAGCCAGTGATAGAGTTGTGTGGTTATTGCGACATATTACTCTGTGAATCAGATACGTGGAAGAACAAGTCTAGTTTTACTAATTCAGATTGCCAGAAAGCTAATCTTATAAAATGATGTTTATTTTGTAGTAATGCTTTTCTTGACGTATACATCATCAAATTTAGAAATCTTCAAAGCCTTGCAAAAAAAAGTTTGCTAATAGATCATTTATCCACACTTAAGCCACATGTTGAATGCTATCATCAGATAATCTTTTTGTACGAAACTCCTTTTGTAAACCCTGAACCGGTCACTGAAATAGACATATGCATGGTCACAGAAACCAAATAATCTGTGTTTTGACCGTAGAACATATCTGAAATACACAATAGAAGTTGATTGCCATCTTTCACATTTCTGTGCTTAACATTCTTTAGAATTTTAAAATGTGTAGTATAAGTAATGATTTTCTTAAAACAATTAATAGATATTCTTTTTATTTATGTGAGGGTAACAGATTTGGTGAAAAGGAAAGAAAGAGACAAATGCTCTTGGGAATGTCATGCTTACCACCTTTATCCGTTGAAAAATCTCTCCACCGCATTAACCAAAAATATAGCATTGGTATTCTTTGTCCTAAGTTATTTTTTTCTTATAAAGAGATGTGTAAACACAAACATTTTCAGATTTTTAAGCTTTCTTTCTTCTTTATATCTCTGAAGGGACCAGAGAATAAATCAATATACACATATTTTGGTTCCACCATTTTTCTTGATTTCTACATTTGAATTGTTTCTGTTATATATTCTGTAAACCAACCCCATCATGATCAGTTCCCAAGAAGAATGGATACTTACACTTGTATAGTCGTTATCATCTGCATAGCCTTGTTTGCAATCAATCTAGTGTTTTCTTGTTTCACTTGCTTCTCCATTCTACATAGCTGCATGACACAGGCAGACCAAGACTTGAATGAACTCAGTGAGAATCTTATCGAACCGCAAGAACCTAACCCAGAGGAGAACGTAATCATCATCGCAGCTTCAAGTAACCAAGGATTCTCTGACTCCATCGATGATTGTGGCCCAGATTGCTCTCATGAAATTTGTGCTTGTTGAAAATAGTTGGTTTATATTTACTTGTAAATGGTTAAATCCACAGGTCTAGACTATCACATCTTATGCATCAAAATCCAGCATTTCTTTATTTCTTTCCCTTCTGTGTACCATGAAATGATACTAATATAGTCTGAACATATGTATTATTATATCTATATATACATGTAGGTCACCATGTTTTAATACATACTCTGTAATGAACTTCTTTCTTGAAGTTATATTTTTATTGTGCAGCATATACCATCGAAAGTAATATAAAGCTCAACAACGAAGTTGATAGTGACAGAAACACCAGTTACAAAAAAACTATTAGGGAGACGCAAAACATAGACAAAAAAAAACAGTTGTTTGCAAAGTTTTTGATTTTAGTTATTTTATAGTTTATATATATGATTTATTTTAAATAAGATTATATTATTTAAACTAAACATATAGTTTGACTATATAATATTTAACCGATTTGGTTATTATTTGGGTCTATTAAATTGTATTTAATTCTACAAAATTTAACTGTAGTATTTTTGTGCTCAAATATATTAAAATGTTGATATTATTTTTTTCTTTTTTTTTCCATTTAGACTTTTGATTCTGAGCATAAAAATTTAGACTTTTTAAGTGATTTATAATATTTAATTACACATATTTCTTCATATCGAAACACAATTAGTTTTGGTTCTAGTTAAAATAAATTTGATTAGTTTATTTATTGAATTAGTTCAGTTCTTCATCTTAAATATGTATATGTATATGTATTTTTGTAATTTCTTTTGTATAATTTGATATTATATTTTTGAAAATAGTATAAATACTGAAACGATGATAAATACAAATTTTTATGAACGAATATTACTGGTAAAATTATGAAAACTCATCAAAGATATAAGAATTTACAAAATATATTTAAAAAAAAATTCAAAGAAACTTTATAACTTAGAGGTATAAAGTATAAATTTAAACTTATTATAAGTAATCTTAACCAAAAAAATTGCACAGCGGTTTATGCATTTTTATAGGTAAATTTTGTTGTATAATAATTTAAAATCAAAATAAATAAATTATTAAGCCTTAAAAATATTTAGTGGTATATTAGGTTTGATTAAAGTTTATAGATTTCTGCGATGTAGTTGGATTAACAAATGTGACAAATTAAAATATAACAAAAAGAAAATGTGCAAGAAACTGAGAAACATATGAATACTAGCAATTATAAAATAGATTAATATAAATAAATATTTATTAATTTAGTATATATGCTATTTAATAATATAATATTTCAACATCAAAACTGTTTTTTTGTGAACTTTCCTTTCTTGAACTTACATAATTTTCTTTTATTGTAAATATAATTTTCGTCTTTTGTTATGTAAATATTTTATTTTTATTATATATGTTATTTGGGAAATAGAGAAAGGAAATTAAATTTTAATTGACATAATTTATTAAATGCCAGTTCTTTCAAATAGACTTTTTTAACTTTTTGTCACAAAAATAGAACTCAAAAACTAAAATGACCAAAATAGCATTTTTTTTAAAAAAAAATTAACATTAGAAATCCAATCTCCAAAATCTCACTCCTCAACTCTAAACCCTAAACTCTAAATTCTGGACCCTAAACCTCATCTATTACCTCTAAAAATGTCTAGATTAATTAACCCTAGGGGTATAAGTGTATATTTACTTTTTTAGATAAAATATTTAAGTATATTTTAGTCATTTTATTTTTAAGTTTTATATTTGTGACAAAAAAAATTTAGGTATATCTTAGAGAATTTCTCTTTATTAAATACTTTTCAATAATGATAATTAAATTTTAATTCATTAAGTGCAGCTATATAATTAACGTGAGCATGATAATAAGAAACTAACTTCTCAAATAATATTATAGATATGAGAAGTAATTTTTTACTGTTATGAATAAATATACAAACTTTAGATTTATACAATTTTTTTTTGTTCAACAGATTTTACAATATGATATATCATGAAATTTATCGTTTTAAGCCATAATACAAGACTTTTTTAGAGTCTATTATATTTATTTGGAATCTGTTTTAGAGTGTTTTCAGGTTTATGTATGTTTTTGGAAAATTTTGGAGATTTTGAAATTTTTCAATATGAAAAATTAGCGAGTCGAGTCTATTTCAAAACCGATTAAGGTCCATAAATCACCATAAATCACCAAAATGCTCCTAACCAACTTTATATCTAATTAAATGGAAATATTGAAGATATATTGAATTTATTCAAGTATAAACTAATTAGGTGTTTTGTCTACATGTGCGGATCGAATAATTTCAAAAATATTAATAAATATAACAGAAAATATTAAAATAAATATTTTCCATTAAAATAAAATAATACTCATTAGTTAAAAATTTGTAAAATAATTATTCAACAAATATTTTATGATGTAAAATAATTTTTTCCATTATACAATAGAAATAATTTTGTTATAATACTAATTTTTAAATCAATTTTAATTTATGTTTGATTATATATTAATAAATCTAATGATACATTAATGTTAATAAAAAATTTATAATATAATATAAACTATTTTAGATAAAGCTAATTATCAAATTAATGATAATACATATATTGATTATCTTTACTTTTACAAAAGTATTATATAAAATATTTGTTTAGATTTAGATAAATCATTATAAATTATTTTTAGGTTTTGATAATTATAAAATTCGTTTTTAATAATGGTTAATTATATATTAATATATTCTATTATTCATTAAGAGTATAAATGATATTAACCGATTTAACTTTTAATGTGAGAGTTCCTTGCGAGAAATCACTTCGCAAATAATAGTATATAAATATTTTTGGAATAGATAATCCAATAAATACCCGAATTTACCTCGAATTTTTATAATATTCAAATAGTGTTAAAATTCATAAACCCGAATTACCCAAACTAAGCCTGAAAAAATCCGAAACTGAAACCCGATTGAGATCGCCCAGTTTTAAGAGAACATAATTTTTGGGCAAATCTTCAAAATAGCACATTTCTAAATTTATGTCAAAAATAGCTCTCAAAACTAAAATGACTAAAATAGCATTTTATCTTTTGAAAATTTTTAAAATTTTTTATTTTTCAAAAATTGAAATCTTATCTCCAAAACTCCACTCCCCAATTCTAAACCCTAAAACCTAGATTCCAAACCATAAACCCTAAACTCTAAACCCTAAATCCTAAATCTCATCAGTTAACTCTAAACCCTAATGTCTAAATGAATTTATCATTAAGATATAGATGTATATTTATCTCGTTTGATAAAACATTTATTACTATTTTGATCATTTTTATTCTTAAGTGTTATATTTGTGACAAAAAAAAAAATTTAGTGTTATTTTAGTCATTTTCTCGTTGGGTAAATATTCATAAACAAGTTTTAAAAAGAAGGGCTTCACCGTCAAAAAACGCAAACAATAAGCCAAAATTCTCTTGATTATATACAGCGTCTTTTTTTATCTGTGCTTCCAGACATTAACCGGTCGTTAGGTATATTCACTGCATCTCCAGTTTCAAACTCTGTATTAGATTCTGCGCTTCTGTTGTCTGCATCCAGAGAAATAGACTAGAAACCTTTTGACCAACCTTTTGACCTGTTGGATTATCAATATATCTATGCTCTGTAGATTATTTACCGGATTGTTGGTTGTGGTAGGGTTGTTGTAGTACTGAACTAGCTGAGTGTTCATCTTGCAGGTAGATCTCTCTGGTTGTTTTAGAAACTTGTGAGTGTGGTAATGGCTAGCAGTGAGAAAGAAAAATCTAGTAAAGAGAAGGAACCTAAACAGCCTTCTTCTTCTTCTGCTCCTCCCTGTTCACAGGTTTGCGTTTTTGCACCTTCTATCGCTTCCAGTGTCAATAAAACCGTTGTTTAAGAAGGGAAACATAGATTGCAAATTGGAGTATTTTTTTGTGTTTGTAGGAACCTTCTTCGGCTGTGAGTTCTGGCATGGCTACTCCAGATTGGTCTAGTTTTCAGGTCTAAGACAGTTTCCTCCGTGTCTATGAATCTGTTGTTCTGTTTTCTTATTACATTTGATTGTTTAAGTGTTTCTTTTTTTGCTCCTTTGACAGGCATATTCTCCTATGCCTCCTCATGGTTTTGTGGCATCAAGTCCTCAACCTCCCCCTTACATGTGGGGGTTTCAGGTAAACTGTCTTACATTCTTATTTCTTTTCATTGTGTAACACTGTTCAGAAGGCTGGAAAAGTTTTAAATGGCTAGTTGACTTTCTCTTTGGACTTATTGGAGGTTTGATATTTGATATATGCATGCTTTGGGCGAATTGGTTCTGGTATTTATCATCATATTTTGATTGATTGCTGAATGTGAATCTCTTTTGCAGCATATGATGCCTCCTTATGGAACTTCTCCTCATCCACATGTTATAATGTATCCACCAGGTGGCATATATGCGCATCCTTCAATGCCTCCGGTACTGCCATACTCTAGATATTTGATTTCTATGGACATGTATTTGCAAAGTATCTTTCGTTTTGTTGTTGTTGCTGGATAATAACTGAGATATGCTTATATGCAGGGCAATACCACTGGTGGCACTGAACTTGATTCTGAAAAATCTGATGTGAAAGAAAAATTGCCTATCAGAAGATCAAGAGGAAGCTTAAGAAGTTCGAACAGGATAACAGGAAAGAAAAATGAGCCTGGAATAAACTCAGAAGCATCAGCTAATGGAGCTTACTCTAAAAGGCATGTACTATCTCAGAACTTGCCAAGTTCAACTTGGGCCTCTTCTGGACATAGTCCTGGTTCATTTGATAGTAACAGTATCCATTATTTTAGTGCTCTGAGATTGTTGGAATTTTTTTTTGTTACAGTGGGGAGAGTGCTTCTGATGGTTTGAGTGAAGGAAGTTATGCAAACTCTGAAAATGTAAGTTTTGTTAAAACTCTCAGTGATGATAGATTTAACTTCAGTCTTTTCATTTTACTCATATTTTGGCAACCAATGTTGTGATGGGGCACAGTTTCATTGGAGTTATTACCTTGTTGGTTGACTCTGCAATTCTTTATTTCAGTAACTAAGAACTAGCATGAGTATGAATAATGAATATGAATTTAGGCTCTTTATCTAATCTTACAAGATATATTGCTCTGCCTATGAGGGTGAAGAGTTCCTATAAAATTTTCATGGTGATTTTTGAATCCTTTTGTAGGATTCAGGATCTGGAGAAGACAGTAAGAATGGTTGGTTTATGATCCTTTCTGTTTTCCTTTTTTTCCATCATGTGTCTAACACCGTGAAAGCTGCTTACCTTTTATTGTTTTGAAAATTCACCTGAAGCAGCATCAGAGAATAGTGGCTCTGGTAATGGTCCCGGAAATGGAAGTGTTGGTACACCTCTTCCACCGGTGAGCCAGACCGTACCAATCATGCCAAAGACAGCTGCAGGCCTTCCCGGCCCACCAACAAATTTAAATATTGGAATGGGTTATTGGGGTGCTCCTCCTATCCCTGGAATGCATGGGAAAGTATATACACCAGTTCCTAGAGTCATTTCTCCAGTCTCACGAGATGGTCCTGGTATACAGGTCTGTGCGTGCGCTTTTCTACCCTAGTATTTCTCATAAATACTTAAAAATCTTTTTTGTCCCCAAACTCAAAATTGGTTGTCTTGGCAATCAGGACGAGAGAGAACTTAAGAGACAGAGACGGAAGCAGTCCAACAGGGAGGCTGCTCAAAGATCCAGGTTGCGGAAACTGGTACTGAACACCGCCTTTTAAGAATTGTAAATCATGTCCATGTGAGCAAATTTTATGGACATGAAATTTGATATGTTTCAGGCTGAATGTGATGAACTGGCACAATACACTGAGGTGTTGAGTGCAGAAAACGCAAGTCTCAGAGCAGAAAGGAATAGGCTGAAAAGCCAGTTCGAAGAGCTCACTTCTGAGAATACCTCTCTCAAGGTAGAAAATAAAAACTTCCAAACTTAGTTTTAGTACCAAAAACTAACTAAGTGACATTCTTTGTTGTTTGCAGGACCAGTTTTTATCATTCCCTCCACTTGAAGGCATAAAAATAAAAAAGGAAGACCAAGAACTAGACATCAACCAAACAGGCTTCACAGAGACAAAGTTTGTTTCTTACAAAGACTCAACTTGAGAAAAAAAAACATACAAGCAAAACCATTTCTTAACACATGTATAAAAAGTAGCAGACAAGAACAACAGTACGCGGTTTGTTGCTAACAGATGGTTGTAGGATTTTAGGCGTCAGAGATCAATAGGTGGGTTACAAGTATGCACCAAATAGAGAATAACGCTTTGTTTTTTTTTATAATATGTAATCATGATATTGATACATTAATAATGAGTAAGTTAATGCTCTGATAAAATCATGAATATGTTTGTGTGTATGTTATGAAAACAAAAACATCTCTCATGAGTATCAGAGTCCAGAAGGAGGTAAGGAGAGGAGATGTTCTTCACTGTACAGTGTCGGTGCTGTTGGTGAGTTGCCATCTTTAGGAATGCTATGAGATTTAGATGTATTGGCTGAGTTTCTATTCAAGGTTTTGCAAGCTGCAATGTTTTCTCTCACTGAACGGTTCAACCGAGAAAATTTGATGGTGGAGACAAAGTTAATGTTCTAAGAATCACTCTAAGATGTTTCTGGTCAGATACTACTCTTACTCTCCTATATCAAACGGTGGGTCATCAAGAATGATCTTGAAGCAAAGATAGCTGCAACTGATGTAACTGGGTCTGGTCGCCATTTTTTTTTTTATGACGGTGGGGACTATCATGTGTTAGGATGGATGTTGTGCACTTGCTCTGACTATTTTAAGAGAAAACAACAATAAACAGTTTTCGACAATGCTGTTTGTAGAAACCCTTTTGTCTGATAACATTACAATAGAAGTTCACATGGTAGCAATGAGTTTCATTCTTATTAATGATATAAAAGTGAGCAAGAGGGAACTGCGTAGTGACACGGACTCTTTAAACTCAACCCTCTCTTTCAGGATGAATCATATGTATGATGTGTAAGCCTTAATGATTGAGACATACATATCAATGCCCTTTAAGTACTCAGACTGACTCAGATACTGCACAAAAAGAGAAACTGTAAGTACATTGCTTTCCTGAAGAATGTAATATTTAGCAGAGGAGACAATAAGCACCTCATTGTGATCATGAAGCAAACTTGGGGTGTTTGATATAGGAGAGAACCCAAACGCAGGCAAGCCTGCTTTCCGGAAATACCGAGAATCTGTTGATGCAGGGAAGATCTCAGGCTCACCAATCTTCCCTCCAGCTTCATTCACAGCGTTTTGTAACAGTCCCCACCATGGATTTGAATCATCTTTTGCGGTAAGTAACTGTTTCCCTGAAAGATTCTGGTCAAACCGCCACAGCTGACATACCAAGAGAACTCGTTTATCAGATACAATTTTAGTTAAGTCCTAACCACAGTAGTAATAATATTCAAAAATCACCTTATAGGTCATGTTCCGGGAAACAGGTGCCCATTCCTCTTCCAAACGTTTTTCTAGTGCTACTAAATGATCATCAGTGGGTCTGGGTGGGATACGAATGTCGAAACCAGCTTCTGCCTCGGATGGTTGCAGATTCATCACAAAACCCTTAAATCCAAAACATGACAAAAAAATTGGCTAGCTTCAAACACAACATTACAACTTTGGTTATCATGTCTGAAAGAACCAAAAAAAAAAAAAAGAGAGAGAGAGAAGTATACATCTGGAGAAGGAGTGCCAGCTTTGAGGAAAACCATGTTGACAGAGACAACTTCACCGTCAGGCTTCAAGCCAGCTTTGAGCATATCAAACTGAGAAGCTCTGAATCTCATCATACTCTCAATGCTTTTAGTGAGATTCTCCGAGGCTGAGTCATCATAGAGTTTTGATCCATGGCCAGGTTGTCCTACAGCTTTGATCTGAAGCGACCATGGAATCCTCTCTCCATTGAACACTCTGTAACTCTCCGTTGGAGATGGCAAACCTAATTCATTCATTACCGTTAACTATGGTTATAAGCTCGTCTCTTATTTTCAACGGAGATTTTTATTTATTTTTAGCTAACTATAAAGCTTTTCCTACATTGACGAGTTCTGATACTTTCCATTACTAGATCAAAGCCTCGAATCCGTACTGTCCCAAAACTATGCAATATTGGCAGGATGTGATACCATTGATATGCATACTATCTTCTTTAACCATGCACTTATACTAAAATAAAGAAAGAAAAAAATTCTTATGTATTTTTGGCCAAAAACCTACATCTTTCTTTTTATAGGCGGTAGAATCTGTAAAACGAAAAAACAATCTATAATATCAAATTTAATTTTATAAATCTTTTAATTTAATTTTAGGTGCTCTTTAAATTATTGAAATATTTTAAATAACATAAAATTATAATTTATAGAAAACTATTAACATAATTTTTGTTAATTGATAAAATAATTATTTTCTATGTATACTATATATTTTATTTTAAAATATCTACAGTTTATATTTTAGGGCTAAAACAAATTTAACTACAATAAAAATTAATTTACTGCAAACAAAACCTATAATAACAACTTTACAAACTACAACTATTTTATCAACGTCTAAATTTCTATAACTAAATTTTAAAAACCACGAACCAATCATCACCTATATATATACCGAAAAGTCTGAATCAAATCGAAAACTAATGTATATATATATATACCTTCGTCGAGCACAACCCCAATGTTCAGGCTCTTAAAGTTACCCGACTCCACAAACTTCCCAACACCATCAGCGCCGCCGATCTCTTCATCAGGAACGAACGAGACATAGACCGATCGACGCGGCTGATATCCAGAGGCTACAAGCTTGCGAATGGCCTCTAGATACTGCATCCCAACGCTCTTCATGTCTTGAGTTCCTCTCGCGTAAATCTTGCCTTCTTCGTCTATCTCTGCTCCGAGCGGTGGATGATCCCACTTGTCTGCCTCAAAGGCGACGACATCCACGTGAGAGTTCAAGAGAATCGCAGGTAAAGAAGGGTCTGAACCAGTCCATTCCAGGAGAACAAGTGGCTTTCCCAAAACGAACTCGATTGATTTGTATTTGAGAGAGATGGATTGAGCTTGGATTTTAATGAACTCTGCGGCTGCGTAGTAATCAGGGTTAGGCTGGACGGTGTTGATACGGAGGTAATCTTGGAACCTGGAAATGATCGCATTCGAGTCTAGAGCCATTGGTGATGAACTGTAAGAAGAGTGGTGAAAGGTTTAAGGAGCTTATTTTGTAGCTTCATGAGACCGCCTTCTAATAAGCAAGTATGAATGTTGAAACACCGTGTTCCACGTGACAATCCCACATGCACGTCTCCTCCCAACCCGGATCCCGTCTGTTATTTAATTCGTGATATGGATTAACTATAGAGTAAATGTTTATTTAAATAAAATATTTAATAGATGTAATACAAAGGTAGTTAAAAACATGTGTTAAAATCTATTCATTAATTAGTTTACAAAAAAACTCTATTAATTAAAAGAAAATGATGTTATTCTACTGGTCTTCTTCGTTATCAAATTTTCATATGAAAATTCATTGTGAACATATCCCACCTTACTCGGAAAAATAACATTGTTTTCAATAAAATAAAATAGTATTTCTTTCGTTTAATTATCAATGTCACTTTAAAATACATTATGCATATTAAAAAATGAAAAAGTAATATTTTATCTTCATTTATTGTATAATTATTTAAATAAAAATAATATAAATAAAGAAAAAGGAAGATAAAATGACACTTGCAAATTATAAGTTATAATAAACAGAGGAAAATCTGTTTTAGTCATGTTTTTGTTTATGAGATACTTCAGATTTAGGACCCCATCATAGAAATATTAAGAACGAGTAAAACAAAAATATGGAGGAATAATGAAAAATATTATTCCTTATCTAGTTTAGTGAGAACAAGTTATTTATATATTTTTCTAGAATAAAGAATAAGAAATAATAGAAAGAAAAGGAAAACTATTTATTATAAATGATAATTTAAAAAAAAAATATATTAAAGAGTGCATTATTTCCTATCATTCTTTGGTCAACAGTTACACATTTTTTGTTGAGAAACTTCCATTTGATAACAAATTAATTAATCTATTATTTTCCTTTTTGGTAATCAAATCTCAATATAAAGTATTTTTTCTTTTTTTATCAATAAAATATTCCTCGCTAACTCAGTAACTTGTATTAGTTTACAAAAAAAAACTCAGTAACTCGTAGCAAAACTAAATTACTATAATAGAACCTGTATGACTTATTTGACTGCTCAATTCTGTTGATGGCTAGTATAAATTGTTTTTGTCATATACTTGTATTGTATTCATGTACAGTATAACCTCTTAAAATTAACAATCTATAAATTAATATCTCTATAAATTAATATAATTTCATAGTCCCAAATTGAATTTTGGTTCAATTAATATCTCGATAAATTAATAATCTCAATAAATTAATAAAAATTTAGTTTTGGTGTAGTCCCAACGTAATTAATTTATAGAGGTTTCAGTGTATGTATGATGATGATTAAGGAAGTCCAATTGTTTTGAAAGTTTATTTCAATAAACTCTAAGTCAAAAACTGAATAATATGATAGATGACCCAACGGCAGACAATGCATGGTACCAAGATTTATGTCATATCAGTATATCACATATGTGACTTATCTTTTTAGACCATATCCAGTGATTCACTATAGTTTTATTTAATATAGAGGAATTCTATTACAATAATATTTTATTATAAAGTAAAATGACATGATAAACCAAAAAAAAAATTATTTTATTTTTAGAATTAAGGTTTTTTACTTTATTATACACTAGGATAAGACCTGCGCCTTGCGCAAGGTGAATATATTAATTAAAATATAAAATTTTAGTATTGATAAATTTAAAATTTACATATAATTGTATGTATTTGAAATTTCAGAATTTTGAATTTTTTATATAATTATCTATACGTAGGATCAGAAACAATTTTAGTTAGAAATGTATATCAAATCTTAGAATTTAATGGATCTGATTTCATTTATCTTTTTGACTTTTCAGTGTTCGAGTGATGGAAAATAATGGAGTGTCACTCGGCTTGATTGGTAGAGTATTAGCAAGTTCCCTAATATTTTTTAAGAAGCAATTGGTAAAATATTTGCATTTAAAATATATAAAGTTTCAAAACTAATTTAATATAATTTATTTATCTGTCTAATAATATTAGAAAATTAT